AGAGAAATAATGGCTTGCTGAAACCCACTGAAATGGAAGTGGATCTGAAGATGATCTGTATTTTAGTCTTCATCAGTTTGTGATTGTCTAAAAATTATTCAGCATAAAGTGATGTCAGAGTTGACTGTTAAAAAACAGAAGTGTTAGCGAAAGATATGAAACTTAATACCATTAAGCTTAGTAAATCTACCTGTCCATTTTCATTTCTGTCTCTTTTAGAAATAGGGTATCTTGCCTACCAATCCAAGTTAATTCAAGAGATAGTGTTAAGGGCTGGGAAGATGGCTCAGTGGTAGAGTGCTTGCCTTGCATGCATGAGGCCCTGGGTTCGATTCCTCAGCACCACATAAGAAAAAAGAAAAAAGCCGGAAGTGGCGCTGTGGCTCAAGTGGTAGAGCGCTAGCCTTGAGCTGAAGAGCTGAGGGACAGCACCCAGGCCCAGAGTTCAGGCCCACAACCGGACCCCCCCCCAAAAAAAGAAAGAGATAGTGTTAAAATATGAGCTAAATTTTATGGCAGAGATTACTTGAATAGGGCAGGGAATGATAATACACTCCTGTAATCTAGCTACTTGATGTTATAGACAAAAAGAGTTTGGCCCAGGTAAAACTACAAGACTATGAAGAACAAACTGAAAGCAAATGATCTGTAAGTGTGGTTCAGGAGGCAGAGCATGAGGCTTGGAGTTTAGTCTCTACTACTTCCAAGAAAATGAAAGAAAGAAGTATATTATTGGAAACATAATAGGGAAATGGGATAAATTTAGTCAATATCACTCTCCATATCTCTCTTGTCTGACTCAGTGTTCAGAACAGCTATAATGTAAACATTGCAGCAAGGATTGCTTAGCTTGATTTTTTTTTAACGAAAGCCCTGCTAACTTCCTAAGACTCAGTAGGGTTGAGCTTTAACTGAAACATGTACAACAAAGATGCCAACATTTTCTTTCTTTTTTTTTTAATTTAAATTTTATTTTATTTGTGAACATGCTGTACAGAGGAGTTACAATTACATGGGCAGGATAATGCGTACATTTCTTA